TTTCCGGAGGGTCTTATTCCTACTTCAAAGTAGGAATAAGAGCCTCTGGAAAAGGGCGCTTTTTCCAGAGGATCGGGGCCAGTCTAGACGCTCTTTTCCGGCTTTTTTAAAAGCCGGAAAAAAGCGGCGGACATTTTTATTTAAATGCCGCGGGGGATATTTAAATCCCCCGCGGATTTCCCTACGACGACTAGTGAAATTTACATGCCCCTTCCGGAAAAGGGGCCAGTGTAGACGTAGTTACCCTCTCAGTGAAAAATGTCCACCTCGTTTCTAGTTTTTCAATGGTTGGTCTAGTGCTGGTCCGAGGTGGCAGGATGAGAACTCTGCAGGGGAAAATATTGTATTATTCACACAGCAGTGACTACCGGGGAGGCAACGGAGGGTCCCCCTCGGAATATCATTGAACTGTGCCTGGATCCTGACCTAAAGGGAGGGCCATGAGCAAGGGAGCTGACAGGATTGGAGACCTCTGGGCTATGTGGAGGGTGGTTCCGGTGCCCGGAAGGGGCAGGGCATCGGGTGAAAGGGGCGGGGCTGAGGCAGCCAGACCCCAGCACTACCCAGAGGATGCAATCCCCCCCCTCCTTCGCCAGCCCTCAGAGCCGAATAGAGCGTGCGGTGCGGGGCTCTGCAGTGTGCCATGTGCACTCCGGCAGCCATTCTAAAAGGCCCGGGCTCTAGCTGTTGCCGCGGTAGCAACAGCAGCAGCTGGGAGCCCTTTAGAATCACTGTAATCTTTATCTGGGGAAAGTAGTTGGTTGTATGGAAATGCCAAGAGATCAGCTCTCTGGGTATGTCTACACTACAGCACTAATTCGAACTAACTTAATTCGAATTAGTTAATTCGAACTAAGCTAATTCGAACTAGTGCATCTAGACCTAAAAACTAGTTCGAATTAGCATTTTGCCTGGGAGCCCTTTAGAATCACTGTAATCTTTATCTGGGGAAAGTAGTTGGTTGTATGGAAATGCCAAGAGATCAGCTCTCTGGGTATGTCTACACTACAGCACTAATTCGAACTAACTTAATTCGAATTAGTTAATTCGAACTAAGCTAATTCGAACTAGTGCATCTAGACCTAAAAACTAGTTCGAATTAGCATTTTGCTAATTCAAACTAGCATGTCCACATTGAGTGGACCCTGAAACGAGGTTAAGGATGGCCGGAAGCAGTGCCGGTAGGGCATCAGGTTAGGACTTAGAGCGTGGAGCTGCTGTCTGAGGCTAGCCGAGGGCTGTGCTTAAAGGGACCCAACTCCCATCCCGGACAGACAGTTCTCAGGGGTTCCCTGCTCGCTTTTCTAACTTGATGAGGGACAGCAAAGCAGTCCTGGCTTGGAGTACCCTGAGTG